GGGGGCAGAAGATTCACTGAACTCCAGAAATTGCCTTCTTTTGAAGTGCACCACATGTACAAATACTTTGGACATTCTTGCTTTTGATGATTGGATTAAGTGCTTAAATTCCAACTAGCGTACCCGCAGTTTTCCCTCACCTTCTTCATTTATCAGAGTAAATTGTTATTACTTGATCACTGCGTCTCCAACGTCATTTTATGAGCTGGAAAAGTCACTCCACACTGTTTGGTGAAAGGAAAAAGCCCAGTTAGCGTTTGCTATTAATTTATCAAAGGTGGAGCGAAGGTGATGAATATTTCCGAGTTATCGTGTTTTTTAGATAACTGTTTACTTTGAGTCAATTTTTGGAGGTAATTGGTGGACATTTGGGCCTCATACCGGTCTTTATTCAGTCTTGTGTTACATGTCGTATGCTTCGTTATTCCGACAGTTGAAGAAAGCATTCACCGCAAATCACACGTTTTTTTAAGATTGGGTGTTTACGCCACTCCCATGTTCTGGGTTTAGATGGTTTTCTCCTGAAGGAAGTGCTTGCAACTATTAGACAGGAGAATAAGTAAAGTGAGTTTCAACAGAGCATGGTTGAATGTGGTTTTCAGTGCTAATCGTTGGAAATCCTCTTCTAATACGTTTACTGTTTCCTTCCTGTTCCCACTTCTGGTCCCTTTTTTTCTTTACGAATGTTGAGTCTGTCTCCTCCGAGACTTGGAGGGAGTATTGCAAGTGTGGATAGCCATCACTGTTTCCGTATTTAGTGACTCAGACTTACAAATGACCAATATATGGTGTGATTCTTCTGCCCCTCAGTACCCACGTTAATTCTTCGAAATCTTGATAAGTGGAAAAGGAGTTTGCACTCTATTTGATTCCTGAAATAATTTACCAACCGAATAGACAGCGTTTTATTTTTCGAATTGGTTTCAAATCTTCAGCAAGTTTAATCAATTCAATCGACGATGTTAGTTCCTTGTAGCTGCTTGATTATGTTTCAAGAGTTATAAGACATTTAAAGTGCTTTAATACTTAAGTGGCTTCTGTCATGTCTTTCACCAATCCCTCATTAATTCCCAGGCACAAGCCATAAAATGGGTCTACTTCATGTTATTCGTGTTATGACACACCATAGCAGACTAAGTCATTATTAAAAGTGTTAACAACTTGTGCACGGAGGAACTCATGTGTTCCTTCAGTGACTTCTCATGAAGCTTGACAGCGTACCCCAAGGTAATCACTAGTCTTCATTAAGACAGGCAATAAAAATGAGATTAGCCTTAAAGATAAAGTGGGCATTTTAGAGACCCACTGAGGAAGTGGACGAGGTCAGTTCTCCCTGTCTAACTGCTTAATGAGTCAGGCGTGCAGGTGTGCAATAGGTCACTCCCCTTTCCAATTGCTATGGTCTTGCAGTGACCTCCGAAGTCTGCGCACTTAAATACACTACCCCCTTTCACTGTGGTATATCATCAAGGTGTGTTCGGATATGTAGTACCTTCCTGAGTTATTGCTCTACTTTAACATTCTCTAGGTCGATTTCTTTAAATACACATCTCTAGGAGTGTAATGACAATCGTTATAAGTTGAAATGGCGATGTCGTAGCCTGACTCCATTTTCCAAGTCTCTAAGTGGTTTACCAAGTCTATGATAAGAGATGACTGAATTGTTTGATCTTTGGAAGAGTGAAATCAAAGAGCAGATGTGCAGCGGCTGGGATAGTACGACTTACGGAATGAATATGTGGGACAAGGCAAGGTCAGTAAGTTGCCATTGCTTAAATATTTGCTCCCAAATCCTTTATGAAAGGCGTTTCCAAGCTTTCATCCAAGGCAAGGAAGGAGCATCTTGGGACCGGCTTCTCTGAAGGGAAACTCGAATAATTCCACCGTCTTTATTAACTAATACGATTTTCTGGGTGTGTATTGATACTCATCTTACATAGAAAAGGTAAGATGAGTACCGTAAAGGGGTCGAATATGACATACAGTGGGGGTGATGGTTGTTTGAAGTGAGAAGTCAACTGCCGGTTAACAGACTTTTTGCCGTATGAAAATACGTTACCCAGGGTACACCACGTGGAGGTAAGTCTATTGCGCACAGCTCGCTAGAAACACAATTTCAAAACTGAAATACTCCATAATGCCTCTCGTCTACTCTGTGTATTATTTTGAAAGCTTATGCACTCCGGATGAAATCTTTTCCCAATGGCCTAAGTAAATGGTATTAGCCTTCAAGTCCTACCTTTGTACATAGTACACAGCTCCTCACCGTTTCAATCTTATTTCTGCATCTGGTAATTTAGAATCTCCTTTGCGCTTTGTACTACAAAAGTAGCACCAAAGTTGGCCAAATAGGATTTTGAACTTACTTGTATTTTGAGGTCTCAGTCACTCTTGTTCTAATGGAATATTTAGGTTCCCACTCAGTGACGTTACTTCCCACCTTATCAGTGATTGGAAACGTGCATCCCTTCTTACGCGAAATTATTTGAGCCATTTTAAGCTTAGGATTCGATCGGATAGAATTTTGGACAAAATTAGCCTGTCCGAAAATCTATACTAGTATCCAGAGACGTGGACAATTAAGAACCCTTCTCTTTTCCACCTTCATACTTCGTATGCTAGATACTCCTAGAAAAGGCTTTAAACGTCTTCATTATTATTATTATGCAACAGTATCAAAAGTTGCCAATTTTCGTTATTGAAAGCTGCTGAACTTATTTCACAGTAAATCCAATAAGATGTAAGAGGAGGGGGGGGGGGGGGGGGGGTCGAAAACATCGTAAGGATGAAGATACGCTATCAAAGGATCTTATTTCACTTAATTTTGGTTTGTGCGAAATTCAGACTTTAGGTCAGCTATCTCAATTATTGATCGATTTTTCTATCGTGGTGCTCGGTCTGACCACTTCAATTAATTCCATTGCTTTAAATCAGAAAGGAGGATGATTTCACATGACATTTAAGCAGATTACATGAACTTGAACCTTTACAAGCATTTATTTGTGCTCTCTCAACTCTGGTATGACCTTTTTTATTTACAACAGGAACGTGTTGAGGCTGATATGGACTCAGAAGCCGTAGCCACTCTGATTTCCAAACGAGCTCGCATTTCTCGAGATTGTCTGATGAATGCTGGCGGAGTATATACCGAACTCCCAGCTCTTTGCCGAGGCTCTCCCCTAGCCGCCTCACTACTCGGTGGACTTCTTGCACTTCCAACCTTTGTTCTTTCCAGCTATTTGGGACCCCGTGGCTTCCGCAGTGCCTCTGATGATGTTATTATTGATTGGTCGAAAATCAGCCTCACCTCATGGTATCACTATGAGTCGGTAGAAGATGTGAGTCAGTATTTAAGCAGTTCTTTCTACTAAATTGTGTAATATCTATGCTTTACTCTATGCCTTGCTCCCTTAATGGAGGTGAGTTTATCAGTCCAATGGTTTATTTTCTTCCTGAGCTATAGAAAGCCGATAACTTATTCACTTGATTCAGGTCATTTTCGCTTCATTTGAATATTCCATGGTTAGCTTCGGGGGTTATAAAAATGAATTCCTGTATTTCTATTTCTTCCAGTGTTTGTTAATCCGAATTTGAAACCTCTACAAAATTTATTTGTTTATTTTATTTATTTCAAATGGCAGATGTTATGATAGGTATCATTAGCCCTTTTGTTGACTTAGTGCTTCACAGAAAGGAAGAGGAACACCAAAGTGTCAAGAAGTCGAGAGGGTTGGGGGCGGAATAATGATTCACAGACGTAAAAGAGACAGACAGACACAAAGGTAGAAAAAGGTGAGTACTGTGGAATTAGCCGAATATGAAATGCAGTGGGGTCTTGGTATTTTGAAGTCAGAAGTCAACTGCCGATTAATAGACTATTTTGCCGTATGAGTATACGTTGCCCGGGGTGCACCGCGTGGAGGTAAGCCTAGCGCACACCCCACCTTTACAAAATTGACGTTAAAGAGGTTCAACTCCATCGCCAACCTGTTTTTCTGTGCCTTATTTTTATACGGTCGTAATCCTCCTACAAACACGAATATAAATGTGACATATGAATTGTTTGCATTCGATCGAAGACCACATTAAAACTATTAAAAATCACCTCAAGCATTCTAGTCGACTTTATATATATTTAAAAAAATAAGTAATGCAGGCCATATTTCTCCCTTATCTGCTTAATTACGTATCCATAAGTATCCATGCTAGATGTTGTTTGATCAAAGTATGTCTTAGATTTAGCAGAGGGAAGGAAATCATGCCAATATCTCAGTGCAAACTCATTCCTACACATTTTTACCTGTAAGAATAGTCGGTAACACACACACACACACAGGCTAAGTGGGATTCCAATCTGTTGTGGAGTAAAATGGTGGAGTTCAACTAAAACCCGGAACATCAGTGAATTATACTAGCTCGGGCACAATTTCCTTTTCCATTTTCCAAGGGAATTTCGCATTTAAAAAGTCCGGAGCAATTATTACCCAACTGGGTGTTAAGGGCAATGACGCATTCAGCTGGCAGCTGGCAGCACGTTCGCACACCGTGCACACACACGCACACACACACTTTGTCTGGACACGTCGCGTAGATATGAAGTAGGAAAGCCAGCGACTGCGAGCACTGCTACCTGGGTGTTAGATGTGCCCGTGCGCTTCTGCAACCCAAGTTTATGTCTTTCCCTGTCATCGGTTTACCTAAGAGACATTAAAGACACTCGTGAGTTAAGTCCAACGGCGCATTACGTCCACGATTATAGTAGAGCTTTAATCTTACTCATATTCGCTTCGTGTCTCACTGAAATTTACTTTCCGACTTAATTTACTAGTCTGTTTATTTGTTCCTTAGCTTGTTCCAGGCCGCAGTGTTTAAAGGCTTCGCTTTTCTTTGTTAACGAGGCCTATTCACTCTTTATCTCTTTTGCTTTGAATGCGCTTTTTATTGAATAATATGTCACATTCAGAAATAAAGTACGCATTTTTTTATTCATCAAATTAATTCGATTGTGCTTATTTACGGTAGAAAGTGTATATCTGGAGTTGCATTAAATTAAAAGTACAGATGGGGTAGCATATGTCTTCCCTTTGTAGTTTTTATTTATTGTGTCTGCCTGCCTGTCTGTCTGTCTTAAACTTAGTATGCAACCATCTACTTCGTTATACTTTCGCAGTTAGTGGCTTATTAAATGTTGCGTCTTTGTTGGTAGAGCCCTTTTCTTGAATAAAATTCTCCAAGTAACTAGTATCAACTTAACGACCATTTGTGTTCCAATATAATTTTCGTTATTTAATTATTTCCTAAAATTTTCAAACGTGCAAAAGTTTTAATAGTTGGATTGCATTCTCTTCGACTTAATAGATAAAAGCTAAGAAGATAAACTTGCAGAATACTTGTGGTTAGTATGATTTCAACTCTGCCATTTCATCAGATTATGGGGATTTGAAATCTAAAACTTCATGTCCGAAAATTCCGCGAGAGAGCGCTCTCAAATATTTTCTCTGTCAGCAAAACGCAATAAGACCTGCGAAGCGGCCGGTAGGTATGCAGGTCTAGTTTATCTCTACATGATCTCTACTTCCATAATTACTCGAGCTATGCGCTATTACCTCTGCAGGGTACTTTTGAATGTTAAATAATAATTTCCAATATATTTTTTGTAATTAAAGTTCAATCCACTCTGCTTTCGAATATACGCTAGATTATCATCTGATCTTCGTAACCAACGTCAGCCAATTCTTGATGTATTGTCTTCTGATTAGTTGTGTGGCTAATTTCATGCAAGAAATGTATTGGGTGTGATCAGCCAAGATACACAAATAGAAAACGAACCTTGGATAAATAGTGGCCAACTTCGACTTCTCTTCCGTGATTATTTATTTATAACAAATGGCAGGCGTCTTGATAGTTACATTAGCCCTTTAGTTGACTTCGGGCTTCACAGAGAAGAGGATGAACATCAAATGAGAAGAATTCGGGAGGGGGAATAGAAGAGTGATTCACATAAAGAAGGGAGGGGGAATAGAAGAGTGATTCACAGATGTAAAAGAAAGAGACAGACATCATAGGCTCAGAAAGGGTAAGATGAGTACTGTGATAGGGGTCGAATGACATACAGTGGGGGTGATGGTTGTTTGAAGTAAGAAGTCGAGTGGGGATGATGGTTGTTTAAAGTGAGAAGTCAACTGCCGGTTAATAGCCTTTTTTTGCCGTATGCTTATACGTTGCCCAGGGTGCACCACGAGGAGGTAAGTCTATCCCACACCCCTTCCGTGATTAAAATTTCTCCAATGCACAAATCACCTTCATAAGAGATGCATACCGATATGCCAACCTTTTATCATTTTAGAATTTTGTGGTGGGCATCTCTTGTCAACTACTCACTTAGTTTTTTGCGAATTCTTTGCTATTTCATAAATGCATATTTTGATCTAAAAAAAGCTATGAGGGTAATGAGCTTTGCTTTTTTTGTTGAACTGTGTTTTCAACTAATTGCATCCAATTTACCGAAATGGCTTTTGTGTAAGTGGTCATAATGTATAGTTTTTATTCAAGTGAGAATTTTTATTATTTTTGGATAGTGTTGGAAGGCATGCACTTATCCAAGGACAAACCCATTCTATTCCTTTGATTTACACTCTTCCACACGTTCCCTTTTGCAAGTTTTGGGTTAGAATGGAGTCATTATGAGAATGGGGTCGTATTTTTTTAAAATGGATGTCTTTTAATCGAGAACAAGTGCATAACTAATCGTAATATTGTTAATGGTTAACAGACAAGATACATAGAACAAATTTTCGTCTAAAAAGGTATTAGGGCAGCCCATTATTCGATTGGGAGGAAGGTTTTGAAAGACACTTCTCCTTAGACGGCAAGGGAGGTAGTTTGAGGCATCTTACAATACCTCTAGTTGCTATTTATGTTTATTCTTTATGGAATCGGGAATTGATTATGGATGGATGGTATTTAGATTATGTAATTGCGAACTTCTAGAAGGTACTTAATCGGCTTTAATGGTCGCCTTTAAGGGGGTCTGCGTAGTTGAATTTAAAGCGATTTTAAAAGGCGGAGTGACGGATGTTGTCATAGCGGATTTCAACTAACTTTCCATTAGCTTGCTTTGCACATTTCGTTGCTTTATAATTATGGGAAACATTTTCATTCAACTTGAATAGGTCAATCCATTTTCACAATAATACATATCGTACTATTTTAGTGGCTTATACGGATGTACTAGTTAGTTGTTCATAAGGACTCATTCATCGATTTGGGTTTGAATGATTTATCGAGATCTCAACCACGGAGACTTCACATTTTTTTCTCAAATGAAGTGTAAGATGTTGTTGTGGGCATATTCGTGGGCAAAAGACCATCGCGTGACACTCTGAGTATAGAAACTTCTAGATATTGAGTTATTTTAAAAGGATAGATTGTGTTGGGAAAGATGAGTAGACAATGAGCAATCGGCCTAAGTGAGGACAGATTTTGAAGTTCTCTTAACTTAAAAATTTTGTCTCGTTTCTGCTATGTTAAAATTGTAGTTTTGGAACAATCTACGCCTCTTTTCGATGTCGTTTGTCGAGCTAATAGTGACGATCAAAGCCAAGTCTCTTCCAAATATCTTGGGGCGCCGCCTATGTCACTGATGAGCCAGTAATTTTGCTAAATTTTAGTGACTTGAGTTTGAGGTGTGTGTTTACCAGAGCCTTGCAGTTCGCTATACAACGAGGTGGTAGGACATTACAACTTGCTAGCCCCGTTTCTACTGTTTATTTCACTATCATTAATGAAGTCTTATGAACATGAGCTCCCCTTATATTTCTCGCCCGGGGTGTGCGATGGACTTACCTCCACGTGGTGCACCCTGGGCAACGTATACTCATACGGTAAAAAAGTCTACAAACCGGCAGTTGACTTCCGGCTTCAAGCTACCATCACCTCACTGTATGTCATATTCGACCCCTTCCACAGTACTCACCTCAACCTTTTTCTCTACCTTTGTGTCTATCTCGTTTTCATCTTGAAAACACTCTTCCGGCCCCCCCCCCTCTCGAATTTTGTCACTTTGATGTTTCTTCCCCTTTGTGAAGCCTGAAGTCAACTAAAGGGATAATGATAACTATCAAAACGCCTGCCACTTGATTTAAATGAAATATTCCCCACCCTATTAATTGCACACTTTGCACTTGTTGAATGTGACAGAGAGTAAGCAAGATCTGTACTGCCAGGATAACTGTAGTCAAGGAGCACTATTGCTTACTCACCTACCAGTTCTAAGAGCGCTTCGGTCGATAAATTACTCTGGCTTATTTCCCCTCATCAAACCATTCAGTGTGTTCCTCGCAGATTTGACATTATTAAGAACTTACTCCCTATAGCAGTAAATGCAGTACCGAGTCAAATGTTAATGATTGTTGCACAAGCTATTTCCATAATTGAC